ATAAATTAAACCTCAAGCTGCGAACACAATTGCGCAGTAAATCAGAGAAAGATGACACACATTCATCTAATCTATAATGAAGTCAAATCAATCATTAAGAAAAACAAGACCAGATGAAAGAACAACATCTTCACCAAGGATCTACTCTAGTCCTCTATTCAGTCAATTATTAGAAAGAATCTAAAGCTTCCCACACATTGCATATTAACACCCGACACTAAGGTTGCTTAAAAAAGGTCAGGGAAACACAGAGATATTCCACATGTTGAACATATACAATTAAATTATCCTCCTTTCTTGGTGTGTTTGGCTAAGTTGGCCCCTAAAGCAAGGTAAATTGTCAATGCATCATATAAAACACCCTTAGTAATGATTTTAAGTAGAAAAACGGCACTCTACAAGTCTACAATACCTCAAACGCTACCACATGATAATAAACATCTCATTATCTCATAATTTACTCCGATTGTAAAGTCCAATTACAGGTAAAAACATATATGCAATTAGCACATATCACAATCAATACCATATTAACTCCTTGATTATCAACATCAAGTAGATGGATAGCAAAACACAGAACAACACAATGAAGAAGCAAAAACTCATTGGCATACAATATCATGATGAAGCTAAGATTAATAATACTGGCCGCGAACACGATGAAGCTAGTAGTATACCTGAATTTGGTCAGACCCATATGATTTAGAAGCCATATTTTCCTGAGGAGACTCAGTAGCAGTACTAGAAGATATATATGCTCTGGGAAATGCCACATTTCTGACCACTGCACCATTAGAAACCCTCCTCAATCTGAAATTAACCCTATACCCACAAATTCCCAACAAAATTAACAACACCAAAAATCATCAAATCAATTAAACAAAGCATAAAACCTCAAAATATAGACAGTAATAATAAACTAAACAAAGCAAAATACAGCATAATTTATATAAACCCAGAAAAGACTAATTCCAAACAACACCAAAACATTGCTCATAGCAAAAATTGAAAAAACCCAACAAAATGCCCAGAAATTTTTTGTAGCAAAGATGAAATTTTCAAAAAAGGGTCGATAAAAAAAAAAAACCCAATTATACAATACCCAGATAAAAAAGTTAAAGTAAGAAGTAGAAAATGAGGGAGAAAGAGACCTTAGAGTATGGGGAAAAGAGGAGGTGAGAGAAGGAGGAGGACATGAGTGAAGATAAGAGGAAGAAGAAAGGAAACGTGAAGAAGAAGAAGAAGCAGTAGCCATGAGAAGGCGAAGAGAGAAATGGCGAGGTCTGAAAACAAGAAGCGCCATTCAGTTCAAATTCATTCAGAAACCTCTCTTGTTTGGGGGTTGCCTAATGCCTATTACACTCACTGTTGTTTTCTGCGGCGTAAAACAAGGATAATAGAGTAAGAGAGAAGGTGAAGGTTAAAAAATATTGAAAGTAGAAATGGTTGGGACACTAGAGGTCTAGAAGGGCTAGGCAAGAGTTGATGGAGTTGATCTTCACCGTATGACCGGTTGTACATTTTGTCGGGATTAATAAAGTAAATTTATTCATTTTCAAATTTGGTATTAATAAGGCGATACGTGATAACGCGTTATTTAAATAAAAAAGTTGATAAACATTATAAGTTAAATACTCAAAATTGCTTGCATTTTGAGATAAAGTGACCATAATGCCCTTAATAACTTCGCCTCCCCCTCCTCTTAACCCCCCCCCCCCAACTTGCTACCACCACAACTTGTACCACTCATATCCTCCACTTCCCACCCACTAGCAGCAGCATAGAGAAAGAGGTCCTTTATTGGTGGCGGCATCGACAACCCTACCATCTCCTCATCAATAGATGATTAGGGACAGAGGAAAGGTAATGGCTAACCGATGTTATAAACCAATAGTATTACACAGTTAAGTTTGTTGTGTAAAGAGAGCTGCAAAGAACAATGATGCAGACGAGATTTGATCTCATGTCTTGGATGCCACCTCCTAAAATATCAACCAAAACTTAGTTGGTATCTCATTCCATAATATAGTGCAAACATTTCTTTTTAATTAGTGTCCCAAAAATATTGTGTTTATTTTATATTTTATATATTTTAAGGGTAATGCTATACATAGCCCTTAGGGCTATATATAAGCATTAGATTTACTCTTGAAAAATGTATAAAGTTAGGAATTCATGACAAAAACACGCGCAGATCGATGTAATTAGTGTGTTTTTGTCATGGTTTTCTAAATTTAAACAATTTTCAAGAGTAAATTAATTGCTTATATGTAGCCCTTAGGGCTATGTATAGCATTTTCCATATTTTAATCATGATACGTGTAACTTTTTTTTTTTTTTTTTTTTTTACTTTTCTCATATAATAAATACTCCTACATTTCCCCAAATTTCATTCATAATTTACTTTTTTAGGTTTTCCTTATAAAATTCTCCTATTTCTAAAATTTCATTAGATGTCACTCATTTTTTTTTAACTTTTTCATATAAAATACTTTAATTTAGAATTCTACTATCCTAAATTCTTGATTTAAGAAAATGAGCACTATAACATAAGGTGGAGGAGTATGATTTTCAAGGTAATATGTTTTGAGAGTTAAGTATAAATTTGGGGACTAATATTTTCATTTTTTTATCTTTTGTTACCTTTTTTTTTAACCTTTTGGGACCTCTAGTTAAGTTTTCGGCCATTTAACCCAACTTAAACTCACATGAGCAAAAGGCAGTCCCCTATTTCAATTTTTATCCAAAAAAAGTTAGTCCCCTCATTGGAATTTGTACGAAATACATGCGTCCATTAATTTAAGCATGCATATCCAAAACATGAGTATATTATCTAAATATTAATCAAAAAATTATTTCCTAAAAATTAAAGCTGCAACATTAAGTAGCCGTTTAATTCAAAAAAAATTAAAATCCATAACAGCAGCAGCAGCCTGCAGCTAGCCTTCAGCCCTTCAAATCTCTTCTCCAATCTAAATTAATGTACACAACTACGAACACATCCAACATCTAAATTCAACACAAATTTGCATAATTGACGCAATCAGGGGGGAAAAATCAAAATACTAAACCCTATTTCAACCAGATAAAAAAACATACATTTTCGCCAAAAAAAAAAAACATGCACAGTAGTAGTTTAGGATGTTTATTTCACTATCCTTGCAAAATGCTTCGAGAATTATCATATTTGGGAGCCACCAAAGACGAAGAATATTCAGAATAAGAGGAATTTTGCAGAGGTTTAGCAATGGAGCAAATGAGAAAAATGATGCTAAAATGAGTAAATACCTACAAGATTCCAAACATTGTTTTTTTATTTATTTATTTATTTTTTAATTCTAATTCGGTTTTTAATTTGGACTACTCATTTACAAAACCTTACAGCAAAAGTTTTGCCTTCCCCGTGCACATATGTTCATTTACACGCCCTCATCAATCATTCTCAAAAGCATTAAATAGGAGGCTAACTTATTTGAAGGAATTTTATGTCTTTTGTCACTTTTTAAGGGACTAACTTTTTTAACCCAAGGGACTCACTTATTTAACCCAAGTGACTCACTTTTTGGCCGGATTTTACCCATGAGGTCCCAAACGGTGAAAAAAAAAAGGAGACCCCAAAAGGTGAAAAAATGAAAAGGTTAGTCCCCAATCTTATACTTAATTCTATGTTTTGAACTTTTGAAGCCATAATTAAACTCTATAATGGTTGGATGCAACACATTGTATCATTTCCACGAGGTTATTACTGAGTAAATGGTTGGATGCAACACATTGTATCTTTTTTTAATTTTATACAAGCATAATATTATCAAATTCTGCTAGCAGTGTAGCTTGTATGAGCAGGTTGCTTATTATACTACAAGCAGGGGCGGACCACCTTTAGTCATAGTGGGTCCGGTGACACAGTATTTTTTTTAAAAAATAAAATATCAAAGAGACCCCTTATTATAGATAGGCGGTCTCTTTGATGCTGCTATTGGTAACAACAAACAACATCAAAGAGACCTCTTATTAAGGTAGGCGATCTCTTTAATGCTGCTATTGCATTTCGCAATTTTTTTGCGCTACTTTTTTTTCATTAAAGAGACCAGTTATATTTAATAACTGGTCTCTTAAGTTATCTCACTTTTTTTTGTATAATTTTTTAATAATTTTTTTTCCCTTTTTATATCTTATATTTGTACAACCGATTTTAATATTTCCCCATAAAGCTTATCAATTAACTAAAAAATCATAAAGTTAATTCAATATAATAATTTTATTGTACCATTTGTTTATAACATGTTATTTGTAGTATTTTCGACTTGTAAAATTGAATTCTTAAGTACTATATTTGGTTGTGGTATGTATTTTTGTGTCCTATTTTTGAATTGAAATCAATTTGGTGAAATATATATATATATATATATATATATATATATATATATATATATATAAATATAATTTTTGGATTGAAATTAATTATGAACAAGACATGGAAAAAAAAAATTGTACTTTCACAAATGATCAATAATTGATGGTGACACACTATCTCGGAAATCTTGGATCCGCCACTGACTACAAGTAAAATCCCCACTCCAATAGTCATGGTAAGCTCTTGCAAAAAATTATGGAGAATGTACAAGAAATTCCTTATATATACCATATGTAATTGAAATATACTTCGAAAACTAGTTTAATAGGCAACGAGAGTCTGACTCTATAATAATAGGCAACGAGAGTTTGAGTCTACAATATGTTATCTGACTACCAATTGTCTATCGAAATTAAGAATGTCAGTGGGGCAAAAATGGATCCCGGTAACTAACCCTACACTTCTGCAGCCTCCAAAGGGTGCAGCTCACAAACTTGCGAACTAGTCAGGGTTTTTGCGCGGTAGGCAAATTCTTCTTACATTGCAACTCAAGTTTCTGGTTAGCCTTGTTCAACTCTTTAATGGAACTGAAGATAGTTTCATTTCCGAATACAAGCAATTATGACAAACATGGAAATTGGAGGCGTTTCAGAAAAAATCTATAATCCATAACTAGTTATGAAGTCAAAGTAGCTTTCACCCGTACTTCAAGAGTAGCAACTGGGGTATGCAACCATGCCCTTTTACAGAATATCAGCAATCCTTCAAAATCAAATATAATTGAAAGATGACCACAAAAACCTAATACACACCACTACTTTCACATAGATTCACACTCATGTTGTTAATACAAAAATATACACGATTGATGTAATTCTCCGTGGACCAATCTAGAAGTCAGCTCTTTACAAATGAATAGCAGACCGGGGAAGCCTCTTGAAAAGGAAGCGGGAATGTCAGAAGAAAGCGAGTTGTGGAGGGAGAAATCTGTGAAATAAAGCCCTATCATCCTAGAGTTCAAGGACTGAATCCTTAACGAGTGTAATTTTACCTTGCAAGGATCATTTCCTACATATGCCGAATGTTCCTGAATGATAGAAAAGACAACCTGGTTATAAACCAATCTCCCATATAAAGAAAATAATTAACTTAAAATAATCTTCAGTATGCCCCAATACTTTACCTTGCAGAATGTGGCTGAGAACCATTGACAACCCCTCTAGCCATACTCATTCTCCGGTTCCTTTGATCGTTCTCCTTGTTAGTACGCATTGAAGCAACTTCCTTTTCCATCGCTGCTACTTCTCTTCTCATTTTCTTCGCTTCAACTTCCATCGCCTTGTTCAGAGTCTCAACCTTCTTTGATAACATCTGTGGAATTCATACAATTACGGAAAGAATGTAACCATCAATGGAATAAAACAAAATTAGCGAGTTTGGAAGTTTCAGCAATTTCTAACCTCAATAGCGTCATCCTTATCCTTGAGGCTCTGAGCTTTCTCATTACAAGATTTCCTGAGAGTAACAACTTCCTTTTGTAACATATCATACAATGCCCCAGAGACATAGTCATCACAATCTGTTTTTGTTTTTTCAACTAGATTCTTGTGATCATCCTCTCTTTGGGAGCCATTGTGAGTCTTGTCAATACCATTAGAAGTTGTGCTTGGCATCATTGGACATGGCTTAGCTCCTTCTTGAGATTTATCACTGCCATCAAATGATTGTGACGGATTCTTGGCATTCTTTAGCAATGCAATTACACTATTAGATCGTAGAGTCCCGGATGGTGAATTTGTTGTTCTTTTTGATAAATATCCATTAGAAGCCACCCTTGAAAAATTCTCTACTCCTCCGAGAGATTGACGTCGTGTTCGACCACTGCTTATGCTTCTTCTTTCTGGGGTGACACGAGAAGAGTTGGCACTTGCAGATCCTCTCAATCTTTCTTCTAAAACCTTAAATCTTAATTGGTATTTCTCCTAATGGAAAGTAATGCAAGTATTAGACAACCATAGAGAATGATCTAGAACAGCAAAAAGAAGAAAATTTAAGTCTCACTTTTAATTGTGCTTCTGCTTTTGCTGTACGCTCGGCAACAGCAAGCTTATCCTTAAGTTGTTGCATTTCTCCCTGCAATGATGGAGATATAGCTTTGAAATCATTTGAATAATATATATGTTTTTGACAAACTATAGTGAAAAATATGTCAATTGACTTAGTATTACTTTGCGGAAGCTGTACAGTGTATATAAATCTGAGAATACAAGCTCTACCAGAAACCCTAAATACACACAAATTAAGAAGCCGACTTAACCAATATTAGGAAACAACTTGTTTCCTAAACACATACAACCTGCCTAAAATATATCCACAATAGTTTTCAACAATAACATTCATTAAAAAGAACACAGATCAATCGAAGATAAAAAAGAGTAATCTAGACCCACTAAATAAAAGAATTGAGCAACCAAGGTGCATGCCATCTACTACAGGCACTATTGTAGGTTCCTGTTTCTTAGATGGCTTTCACAGTATCACCCACTCGAGGTCATCCTTATAAGTCAAAGTTTAAGAGAAGCAAACAGCCAAACAGTAAACATTTCCAAAACACTAAACAGTCAGATGAATGACCAAGGTGAAAGCTTGATACATAGTTTAGGCCGTTGTCATCCTTATCTTTATCAAGGTCATCAAGATAGTCAACTGAAAACCAGATAACATTAATAAAAAATAAATAAATAAATTACATGCCTGATAATATTTTCTCTCTTCTAGCCATTGCTTTACAGGCATTACTTTGTCATTGCCATCTTTCCATTCATTTGCCACAACAGTAGCAACCCTATTAGCGTTTACTTTTGCACGAGCAAGCTCTCTGTCTAGGGTTTTCTTCTCCTCCTATAAAGAAAAAAAAAAAAAAAAAAAAAAAAAAAAAAAAAAAAAAAAAGAGTTCAGTATCAGCATAAAGCACAAGCCATACCGATCAAGCTGTTTTTTCTTAGAAAGTTGAAACAACATCTGTTATAAGAACATAAAATTACATTCATCTCCTGCACTTTACGTTGGTAATCACGCACAGCATTGGCAGCTGCTCCACCAGCCAACACTGCTTCCTCAAGCTCCCTAACTGTTTGTGTTAATTTTTCAACTTCTGCTACCTTTTGACGATGCATTTTGTCCAGAATTTTGTTCTCCTCCTAATAGAATTCATATTATTTAATAAGCAGCTGAAATTGCATATTTGAGTACTCTGACAAGAAAAAAATTAGAAACAGCAAATCAGTATACCTGACAGATTTCAATCTGCTTCATCAACTCCTGGTTTTTGTTCTGCAAATCGTCAACCATGGATGCTTTTGCCATAGCCATCTGAACAGTTTTCTCTGCCTCCAATAATGCAGCTTCCTTGGATTTTGTAAGACGGTCCAATGCCCTGTTGTCATCCTGCAATTTTGCAATCTAGAAAAGAAATAGACCAGCGAATCAGAATGTGTCTCCAACTCCACAAGATCTGGTTTTTCATCTAAATAAAGGGATTGGGCAAAGATGAGATACGCAGCCTTCATGCAAATTACCTTAACAAAGTGAGTTTCGAGTAGAAAAATAACAATGGGTAAATACAGCACTAAATGAAGAAAAGATGGACAAGATGTACCTCCTGCTTTGACAACTTTAGTTCCGCCTCTAGCGGAGCAATAATGGCCTCTATTGGTGGCATGTCATCATCCTTTTGAGCAGCATGTACGCGTCTAAGAGTGGCTTCGGCAGCAAATTGTGCAGCAAGAGCTGCTTTCTTCTCTTCATTTATCTTTTTAATTTCAAGATTCTGCAATATTAAGTTGACACTTCACTATAGCATACATAAGCCATCTTCTATGCTTAAAATTTTTGAAGATAGAGTTTTATTTGGACTAAAAGTATTAAGGCTTGGTACCTTGCTTTCCAGATTAGCCTCAGTAGTTTTTAACTTCCCATCCACCTTTTGAAGCTCTTCACTAAGCTGGAATAGAGCCAAATAACGTGTGATCAGCATCAGCAAACAGCCTTGTTCATTTGTACAAAACTGAACATGTATCTCAATGAACTACGTGCAAAGTATACCCTTAAGAGGTGAAAGAAGGCGGTGTTCAGCACAAAATTAGCCAAAAGCAAAAAAAAAATGTCCTCTGACTTCTCATATACCAATAAACGCAAATGGTATGGTAGACCATCAATGGAGGACTCCATGCCAAAAATGATGGAACTTGCAAACATGATGTTATTAAGTACAAGAGCATAAATATTTGAGACAAGAAAAGACATTAAAAGTCTTTGCAGAGAAAGCATTGTTTTACAGCCCAACCTAGATTCTACTTTTTCATAATTTTAATTTATTAGTGTATCTTTAAAAGATTTGTCTATAGAACAAATTCAAGTCACATGAAATTCTTCAGAAAAGAAAAAAAAAATCTAGAAAACTATTAAATTCACTGTGTACTGTCCTTGGTTTCATTTATCAAACAAAAACACTTGAGTATGGTTCACTTACTATTTCTAATCCTTTCATGGCCATTGGATTTTGATTAAATTGATCCATGAAAGTACAACACTTTGTCTATTATTAAGCATTAAGCAAGAAGAAGCCATCATATTTGCCTGTCAGTAATATTAGCAATGTAGCATGCAATCTGTGGTGAAAGTATGGAGTAGTAATATGGAAGCCAAGAAGAATATTCACTTATAGGTTCCCAGGGCCTAACCGCCTAAGCATAAAACGGGAGGCCAAGGTGTAAACCTAAGCAAAGGTACATGTGTTCCATGGGAAACTATGGTCATTCACCCAAACAATATTATAAATTCTTGACAAAAAACAAAATTAGCTACAGACATTTAAACTTTTATAACAATGCACTTCAATTAATCTGACTCCCATCCCTAGATTTTCCTCAAATTTTCTCTTGATTGAATCAATTACTCCCATGTGTTTAACTGTTTATATGATTAGTCAAAGTTTCATCAGCATCCAAAGTTTAGAAATGTAATTAATCCATATTTAACTAATCCATAATTTAGTTTGTAGTTGCATTTGAGGCAATCCTTCATGATAGCCTTTTGTTTTTTTTTTAATGACTCTTTGAATCTAAGTGAATTTTAAAAAAAAAATTAAAATCTTCGCCAAGTGGATGCAGTTACATGTGGTTACAGCTAGTTAGATATTAAAGCTTAAAACCAGCAACAATTTAATAAAACACACGTATACATGACTAATGTTTTTCCATCGCCTACAATGCACCAATTACACCTCGCTGAGATCACCATGCCTAATGCGTCTCAAATCATAGCACACAGAGTGCCTTTTAATACACTGGCCTCAAAACTCCAAATCCTATTGCATTCAAGTATTGGGTAGATGGGAAGAGTGGGAAATATGCAATACTTCATAGAGCAAGAATTTAGGTGAGGCAGAATAATGTCAAAATACCTCTTCGACTGCCTTTTCTTTAAGGCGTTCTGAATGTTTTAATCCCTTGATTTCTGCATGAGCTTCTCCTAATTCTCTATCCTTCTCTGCAGCATGAACAAAAAAGTATACATGAATTAGATGCAATGATACATTTACAAGGTGTCCATCTGATCATGCACCAGCTTATTTAAGTAAAAAAAGCTACTCCGTATCCTACAATTTGAAGGACAATCAAGTACAATTAGAATTATCAGTCCCAATGTAGGTGTAACTAGGAGGCCTATCCCTATGCTAATTTACCCTAATATGCAAGGACAAATCCAAATACTATTTTCAACAGCTTAGGTTAAACCACTGTCTAAACCAGACGGGTTGACAGCCATTGAACCCAATACAAAGCTTTGCCTGTCCCGGAGTAAATATGCAGACAAGCTAAAACACCTAAACTGCCTACATTGCTCCACAAAGTCATCATGACAGATAGCCACATAAAGCTAATCAGAAAAAGGGTCTGTATAATGATGTTCTACTCCGTATTCGCTCAATATAGAAAAAATAAGTCCTCCCATACAGTAAGATTATTCTCTTCACTTTCATAATTATATCCTAACATTGCGAACAAACATCAATTCACTATCATCAAAAGTTAATACTGTTTTTCTGTAAATATCAACCATTTTTTTTACCAACCATCTTAACCTTTTGTTCATATCCAGAATTAACCATTGATTTCGTCATCAATCACAAAAAAGCAAATATAAACAGATGTTGCAGCCATCTAATAGATCACATTTGACAAATTGTTCTTGTTTTAGAAAAGAGTATGCATTACTATTCAAAGTTTTCAAATTTTATCCATAACATTATCAAGTTATAGGGAAAACATAATTCCTGAGGTAGCGTAATCATCTAACTTACCTCTTCAGTCAATAGATACTGCGTTACTTTTTGATGCTATAAAATAGAAATATACATTTTTGCAATTCAATGACAATAACCCAATAAAATTAATCATTTCCATCTAAGGAAATTAACCTTAAATTTCTCATAAAATACAACATAATCTACCTAAGATCCAAAATTAATAATCCATATTCACTCTTAATTTAATTATAGCAAGGAGACAAACAATTCCATACTTCGTATTAATTAACACTTAATTATTCAATTAAAAAAATTGTAACACTAAAAGTCATTCAACTACCTAAAATACAAAATCGATTAATAAAGCAAAAAAAAAAAAAAAAAAAAAAAAAAAAAAAAAAAAAAAAAACAATCTTTTACTTAATTAAGAATTGATCAAAAAAAGTGACAGAACTCAGCAGTCACAACTCAAAACGGAACATCCTCTACCTAAATTTACAAACCCATTTCAAATTTTTTTTTTTTTTTAAAGACAAATCGCGTAAATCAATCAAAAGAAAAAAAAAAAATCATTCCTTATATTTTCAGCAACAAATTGAAAATGCCAATCAATATAGATTTTTTAAAAACAAAATAAAAAATTGCCTCTCAAAATATCGATCAAAAGTTTAAATTCCAAAACATTAAACCACATAACAATCAAAAACACCCTTAAATCACTTTACAAATTTCCATGTTAACACAATAGCAAATCAACTATATTCATGATCTTTAAACAATATATTTGTAATCTTTGAACTAAGTATTTGTGATCTTTGAATTATATATTTCGGGACCACGATATATATTCTATACGAATACCAAAAAAAATTCAAATTTTCAAAAATGCCAACAATAAAATAATTAATTCATCCAACAATAATTAAAAAAAAATTAAAGGAAAAAAACCTCGAACTTCATTCTCAAGGCGAGTGAGCTCAACGCGAACAGGATCAGAACCGTGCAACAAATGAACAACATCTTCAACACCCGAATTTACTCTCGAATGTCCGCCGCTCTTTTTCCGGTACTTAAACGAAGCCGACGTCGTTAACTTCGCCGGCGCCGCCGTTGCTTCACCGTTCGCCATTGATTTTTCCGGCGAGATCTGCTCAGATTCCGATTTACACTCCCAAATTCAACCAACAAAGATTAAAAAAAAAAAAGTAAAAAATCAAATCTTTCTTCAAATTTACTACTTAGTACTAGTAATAATAATAACAAGTAGCTCAAAAAAAAATTGATTGAATGAATTTCAAAAAAACAGAGGAGAGAGAAAGTAAGTGTGAAGAGAGAAAATGAAGGGGAGGGAAGAGTGAATATGGGGAATGATTTTTTAAAAAATTAATTTATGATTTTATGGAATGTGCTTTTTGCCTTTTTGGCTGGAATTTTATTTATTTTTTTGAATTTTTTTTTTAATTTGGTGGATTTTGATTTTGAAAGGTATATACAGGATTTAGGCGGGGATTTAACAAGGATGATTAAATTAAGGGGATTAATTATTGATTAATTAAATGGAATAATTAATTGATTGGTTAATAATTTGAAGGGTATTTGTATAAAGTTGGTCCACGTTTGAAAGAATGAATAGCAGGATCTGATTTATGTGATTGTGAACACGTGATGGATGTTCTGTTCTCATGCCCCTGCTTTCTTCCTTCCCTTGTATTCCAGGTGTTTGCCAGGGTCCTTTGGATCAGATTCACTGTTCATTTTTAACGACCCGTTGCTCGCTAAGGATATGTTCGGCAAAATTAGTTTTGACTCATTTAAGGCCTGAACTGAAATGAATATTTTATATGAGAAGGAAATTAGGAGCTGAACTGAACTGAACTGAAAATAAATGTATGAAAACAAGCCCTTAGTAAGACAAAAGACATTTACCTTCGATCTTAGAGTACTTGGAGGAAGAGAGGTTGTAACTTTTAAAAAATGTTTGACAAAATAATTATGGTATTTTTGTTTTATTTTAAATTGACTTGTTTTAATTTATATGAAGTGTTATGTATTAACATGACGATTATATGGTGGATTACTTGAACAATTAAAGGTCTAATTTGATTTACTGAACTGAGTTGAAGTGATTTATTTATATGAAAAGGAAATTATGAACTGAACTGGACTGAAATTAAGCCGAAGAGAACAGGATCTGAGTAGTTAATACCCCAAATGTATAAGATATAGTATCATTTCGGCATACAAGTGATATGAAACCGGTTTTTCTAATGATCTATTCATTTCTTTGTATGTATGGGAGTAGTAAAGGGGAAAATTATCTGAATCAAAAGTGTAAAGGAGGTAGAGACTTGTGCAACACATTTGAAAATGCAAATTTTCTTCGGCAATTTAAGTACACCTTTTATGAACTTGTATTGTGGAAGTTTATGTGATGAATGAAAGAAATCAGCCAGTGTTTTATGATCACTAATTTTGTAGTACATCATTTACATGCAATGCTTAAGCTTGGACTTGAGCTCTACTCAAACTATTAGCTAAATTCAAAGGCTGGATCTAGATAATGAGTTTGAGTTGTACTTGGTTTAATATACAATAAATCAATCATAATGGTATGAGATAGATCAACCATAATTCTGATGATGTTAAGTTTTAGGGATAACGTTATATATTCTTAAGTTTACAAGTGTACAACACAACTACAATTAAAAATAATATTGACTTCGACTTTACAGAGGATAAACAAACCAATCAAGACGATCCACACTTCTTCTTTTTTTTAATCATATAGAGTCTAAAATATCCATAGAACTTTGCCCCTTATCACAATGTTAGCTTTGTTAGTATTGTCAAGTTGTTTGGTTACACAAATACAGCTCCCATGATATGTAAAGTTCAAGGAATAAATCCCATTTTCATGTCAGAAAGAAAATTGAAAGACACACACACATTAATGCTTTGTGGTAAGGTGGAAGGTACAAGCTAAGATATCATGTGGATATAAGGTGGTTAGTGCTACAAAACGTCCCACTAATTTAAGTACAAATTTGACAACTTTAATTGAGATTTGTACTTTCCTTGAACCAAGAATAATCAATGCTAAGAATTTATCTTTAAGTTGTTATTAATGCATGGTTTATCCACTCTGTTTATCACATTACCTTGTCTTCCAAGTGCAATCACCTTCTCATGAAATCCTTATAAATTAAAATCTAAAAATAAAAAAAAGGTTTTTTTTTTTTTTTTTTTTTTTTTTTGAAAAAAATATTAATGAATTAGTTTGTGGGCCATAATTTGATGGTGGAGGTCTACCTAAGGCCTTAGCATATTTTGTGGGCCACTTTTTTGGTGTCCATGATCCAACGGCTACTAGTCTACTACCAATTCTGTTAAGGTATCTCAACCGCCATTAATCTCCCTAGGTGGTCACCTTAATTACTCTTATAAGGACCATATCCAAACTTATAAGATACTCGAAATTAGATGGTCTGAAAATGACTCAAACTCGAGCTAAAATCAAATAGAAGATGACCTAAATTGAATTGAGTCTACAATAATTATCAATAAACGTGAAATCTACTCAGCTCGATTTAGCTCATACTCAACCTAAAAGTGTCCATGATCAATCTATCATATTTTGTCAAACTCATCAAACGGAATCTTAAATAAAAAAAGGAAAAAAGAAATTTATGCGAGAAAAAAAACAGAGAGAAAGACTATACTTTAACTTTTGGGTTTGTTGATAGATTAGATCACTTCTTAGGGCCGCAAAAACAGCAAAGATAGCAACCCCAATTCTTGTCCACTTTTGGCATTTGCATATGTGACCATGTAATTAATATGAGCATATATATTGTGATATTGATGTGGGATTTCCACTTGTTCGTCACAAAATATCTTATACAATGTTGTCTTAAGCAAAAAAAAAAAAAATGATTGAAACTAGATAATATTGTAAATACATAATTGTGATACATTTCGAACCCATAACAAGTTATGATATGCACTTAAGTGACGTTATGACTTCTACTTAAGTAAATACACAATTCTAAACATCTTTAAAATGATAGAAAGCTGATACAAATTCAATGGCAACTCTAATCATATAAAATTGACACAAATTCAACAGAATATTGTACTCGTAAGATATGAGGTAACACGATACAAAATCAAATTATATGAGGTAACACGATACAAAATCAGATTTTCGTAATTTTAATCGTGACCAGTGTCATAGCTTGATTGGAAAGACAAGATAAATGAAATTAGAAAATTAGTTGAGGCTATTAACATTAATACATTATTACATAGGGTGGCAGTATGGTACGGAGTAACTTGTTAGGGAAATAAAACCTTACATCACGCATAATTCACTTTGGTAAATTGCGGAAATTGAAAAGCAACTTTTACGAAATTGGTTCATAATTGGTTGTTAACGTAATTAGTCATTTAGTCTATATCTATCATGAACCAAAATGTCAATCTTCAAACAGGTTACCTAACAAATGTAATTATGAATTTGTATTAGCTTATTTCTGGATAAGACAAAACATCAAATTCGTTAATCACCCTCACTAATCACTTGGCTTATTAGCAATCAATCAAAGAGCTAATTTAATCTTATAATAATAATTCATTTTTTTCAATTTTAAAATAAGCTACACTTGTAATTTGAACACTCGAAATATTAATCATTTAAAATTCGGTAAAATACTCATTATATTCCCTTTATTTTCAATACAAATGATTGGCCGCCTACATATACATTGTACATTACGAACTACGAGTAGTTATTATTAACCATTCATGCATAACTAAAAAGGGTAGAAGAGAGAATGTAAATTGTTAGCAATAGCAAGAAACTATCTTTTATTTTTTTTTATTTTTTTTTATTTTTTATTTTTTTACGGAAGAAACTATCTTTATGTTAGCAAGAAACTATTTGCTAACTTTCAACTTTGATCAATAACACCTATAACTATTAAAGTACTTCGTAGTAATTATAAATACGAAGTACTATGCATTTAAGAGGTTTTTCGTTATGAGCTACTTGGAGTAAAAAGAGTTGTTTGACTATTTCAAAAAGCTATTTGGAATGTTTGGCTAGTAGCTTTTTAAAAGATCAATCAAAGCTTTAATCAAATAAATGGAGTTCGCTACATGAACCAAAAGTGAAATAAGCTCATATGAGGAGCTTTTTGAAAGAACTTTAGCTTATTGGTTGTTAATACACTAAAACAACTAATAGCCAACAATTATTTAGCAAATAATTTTACACAAATAGCTTACTACAACCAATAAGTCAAAATTGTTAATGCAAACTACTAATAGCTAGCATCTAGTCAAATGCTAACAACTAAAAGCTTTTTCCAAACAAGGCCTAGACAAGTTTAACAAGTACATACAATTGTATTTAATCTCATGTATTTCCTCCGTTTCATTTTACTTACAACACTTCTTTTTTTACATTTGCCAACGCAATATTACAATCACATGATATATTTTAAAAAATTGATTCACATTGAGACAAATTTAATAGTATCTTAATATCATACACAACTATATTTTTCCTTAACGATATATACATCATCAAAGCTATTCAAAGTTAAATATGTGAATAGTGTACTCTCTCCTTTCCAGATTGATGTTCCTGTTTCGTAAATCGATGCACATTTTTACCCAACTTTGACCGCAAATATCTTTAATCTTACACTAACAAAAATTATAAAAGTTAGACATTAATAATCTACTCACCAAGACGAATCAAACTAAATTCCACATGACTATATTTATTCCTATAGATTAAGAGAAATTTAGAAGATTCTGGCCTTGTTTGGCAAATGGCTGTTGGCGGTTGGCTGGTTCACTTAGCTTGTTTGACCAGTTGGAATGTTTGGCTGTTTATAATGGCTTTTGAAATTGGCTGCTTAAGCTAGCTGTTTATAAAAGTGTTTGATAAATTAATTGTTAGTTGCTGGTTGTTAATTAGATAATTTGTGGGCCAACAAGCCAACAAAAAAGCTACTCAAAACAGCTTTTTCATTTTGGCTTAAAAGCCAGCTTTTTCGCTGACTAAAAAGTCAATTATCAAACACATTTTTTGACTAAAAAGCCAACTATAATACACCAAATTACAGGGAAAAAACTACTACCTCCGATTTTTTTTAGTTGCAACTTTGGGGTATTATTTAAGAGATATAAAATATTTCAAAATTACAACTAAAAAAAATCAAAGGTAGTACTTAATATTGACTAGTTGTATAAAACAATCACAATCAAAAATACAAAAAAAAACGGGAATCTTCAAGTAAGTAACAAGTAACAATGACCTAAATCAAGGAGACAAATAAAACAATACAACAAATCAAAATTTGTGATGAGAAAGTAAGAAAACTAAAAAGTTGTAAAAAGATATGTTTGATTAATTAAAAAAAGAAAAGAAAGAAGAAAAGGTGGAGAGAAACGATAACAATAACACGGGACAAGTGCACATGTCAGTGTGAGAGGGAAGGCAAAGGTTAAGCACATGGGGTTGCGTATTGAGAGAGACAAAGCGTGCGCACACTCTTCTTGGCTCCCTTTGGTCCCATTTTTTTTCTTCATACAGTTTTCTACATAACCAAGCATAATTCCTTTTTTTTTTTTTTTTAAAAAACATAACCAAGCACAATTAAATTATGTTCTTTTAAACTTTTGGACAAGCAGAACATAACATATTTTAGTAGAGAGCAGAATAGGTATTAACATATTTCAACAGATTTCAGCAAAGCAGCTCAAAAGAACTCTGTAATTTGTATGACTCAATATTCTATGAGTATTTTTAATAAATTTCAAATCCCTAACCAAATTTGAATCCTTATATATTTTTTTTAAAATTCAACATTTACAGGTCAAACACTTTAAAAGTGAAAGAGAAGGATAATAGATTCCCACTCTCAAAGTGTTTCTAATGAAGATAGTAGCCTGGTTTAAAAAGTGCAATCCTTCCAATAGACCAAGAGTCTGTTCTCATACGTTTATTTTCAGTTCAGTTCCTAATTTCCTTAGCTCAACCTATGAGAACATGCCCCAAGTTTAGTTTGGTTTTTTTTTTTACTTGTATGATTACTCTGTATCTTATTTTATTATTTGAGTATTTAGAATTGATTGTGCACTTGAATGTATATACTATATAGAGCTAGCTGGTTGGGGTTTGCTAAAACTACATATTTTGCTTATTTTATATACTACCTCCATTTTATTTTTATATATATATATTTTTTTTTTGTAATTTTAAAATATTTTATATTTCACAAATAATACCCTAAAGTTGCAAAAAATGTAAAACGAATGAAGTACGAAGTATATGTTTTCTTACTTGTTGAATCAAAATGAGGAAATAAAAAGCACTAGAGGTTTTAAGGAAAGTAAAAAAAAAAAAAAAAAAAAGGGAACCATTAAGGAATGAGAGTATAGATATACTGGTAATTGAGTATTAAGGATTACGGAGATTATTAAATAAGGATTACTCATATAAATAAATAAAATTTTTAAGGCGTAATAAATTAGTGTTACTTGTAAAATGAATTGGGTTAGAGTATTGTTATGGAGTATTGGGGTTCAAAACAATAAACAAACACATATGGAGTAGAACTTTATTTGGAAATGACAAAAGTCTCTTTTAGTCCCTCCCAAAAATATTGTTTTCCTATGACGAAAAGTTCATCATTTAACATAAAACATAATAATATATAGTCTAAACTACCCTTTTTTGTTCTAAAAACTCTAAACTACTCAGATTATGTGATCTCCCTCCTTATGTAATTCACAAAAACCAAGAAAATGATTGGAAGTAGTGGATTATTATACTCCAAAAGATCAAATTAATGCAAGTTTTAGAATGTTATACTGTAAAGTAATAATAATTAATAATAAAAAAAATACAGTAGTATATAACAATTAAAAGATAAGTGGGAAAAGAGTGGAGTAGAAAAAAGTGAAATAATGTAGGCTGACAATTATAACAATTTTTTTTCTTTGTGAAATGGCTAAAAAAAGAAAAGTGTAATTTTCTTTGGAAACGGGGTAGTATGAAAAAAGAAGGAATGATGATAAGTGATGTAAATTGCAGCAGCAATATAGAAGCATAGATGCCAATTCCATCCATCATAAACAAAAAGTATGTTTCTCAAAATAATGAAATATACCAAGTACTACATGTTATCTGTTTTTCTAAATTAAACGAATAAAAAAGCGAATAATTAAAATTAAGGCTTACAGCTCGTTATGTCACGGGACATTCAGCCCCCCTAAGATATACGAGTAGTACAAAGTACTTCCTAATTTGCATATAGGTGGAAGAGGTGTTAGACCAAATAAAATTAGTAACGGTATTTAGGTTTAGGAACCGAGGGAGTACAACTAATAACAAAAACTGAAACAATGCACATAACGATTGATTCCAAACAAGAGTTATTTTGCTCGCGCTAGACAAGTAGACATAGCTAAGCTCAAAGCTTCCACGAAGCTCATATTGACTTAAAATCTCTACAAATCACAATCATTGTGAACCTAGCTCAATTATCAGCTCACAAATGCTCATGTCCCCAACCCAGGCGATTATTGTTCGGATTTTCAAAATTCACATGCTCAATTATTGAAACTACGTTATATACATTTTGTGCATACTACAAATCCATTTCACCGTCAACTATTTCCTTAACTCACTCGAAAACAAAAGCCCTGAAGTTTTCTTTGTTTTTAATCAATTTCAGGATAAAAATAATAAAAGTTCCAAAAACAACCAAATTGTCTCTCACCTCATTCAGTTTGGAATTTTCCAGTTCTATTACAAAGATTTTACATTTGCCTGCATAAAAACAATCTGCACTTTTTTTTATACTGACTGAGCTTCTACTCAAAGTTTTTTGCATACATGTCAGTATCAATACATTAGCTTCCACTTCAATTATCACATGTCATCCAATAATTGGAACACTTTATAGCAGATAGATTTATTTCTAAGACACAAGAATATAATCTGAAATATTACTCGAAAAAAGTGAATTAATTAATTAAAAAAAGTGGATTGCTTCAAGAATGAGGATCAAAAGAAATTAATCTATACAATCATCAAAAGTATTTACAAGAGTAATAAGAAAGCCAACGTCAGTTGAAAGACAGACCATAGGAAATTAAGGACTCAAATTTAGGAATCTGGGATTATAAGGGCAGTTTGGTACTCACCAGAAAGCCAACAAGCAATAATTTTTGTGAACGTAAACAGTTATGAAGAAAGGAAAACTTTGTTTCATGCTCCTTTGTTTGCGCGGATGTAATCTCATTTGTACCTAGAAATGCAGCACATCCCCCCTGACACATGGTCCTCTGAAGACAATTCTTCTGCAATAAGAAATAGCTTAACGTTGAAGCTGAAATTAAGCCGACATAGAGCCTCTTTCCATGGAAGCTTCACGTTCCATACGACGCCTTTCTCTCTGCAATCAATCCAAAATCAACAACCAAAGTACAAGGAAAAGACAAGTTGATACCATGTTCAATGTTATGCAATACTCCATTACTCCGTATATTCAAGGTTAACAATAACTTATATTAAATTTCTTTGTGACTCTAGAAAAGGGCATAAAAGATCATTTCTACAGTCCTCAAACTTATAGGCACATCTCCTAAAATGGTCTATAAAAATGCTAGTGCAAAATCTATCACATTGCAAGGAGCACCAGCTTTTTTGCTCAAGTGAGAAACTTGTCTTGCTATGGTGAAAATTGATTGCAATAAAACATAATGGAAAATGGAAAGCACCAAAAGCAATAACCTAGTCCTGACCTTGATACTCACACTAAATTACAGATATTTGTTTAAAACAGATTCTCTAGTCATTTCTTCAATTACAGAGCTTTTCTGTTATGGGTGCCAAAAATAGACAAAACACAGAAAGATTAAGAGAATTAATTTTCTTAACGGAACAAGAGGCAATTTATTTTAGAAAGGATTTATCACCCTGGAAGCCATGAAAGACAACTCATTACTATCTTATGTAGCGATTGAGTCACATCCTACCTTCATTTGGATTACAAAGTAAATGAGAGATATTCAACATCAACAATTAAACAATGAGAGATAATTCTTCACTAGATTGTGAGGTGTTAAATGTTCATAGTGATGCAATTCAGAGTCAAGGTCTAAGAGATGGGCAAGATCTGCATCTGTACACAAAGAAAGTTAAAAAATGAAATATTTTGAAAGGACAAGGAGATAAATCCACCTTAAAAAATGCTTAAAAAAAAAAGGGAAAAAAAAATGTCCAAAATAAGACTAATTCTCTCACACACAAAGCACAAACACTAATCCAAGTTTACAAGATTTAAAGCCAAGTAAAAATTATAAATAGCTGAAAGTCATGAACCAAAGTTGGTCTAAAATTGAACTTAAAAAGAGAATTGTAGAGATTAAATAGAACCCACAAAGGGAATTAATCTAAAATCATAAACTCAAAACAAACACCAATTATACGTTGCATAGGCCTCAATATATAAAGGGCTAAACTTAGAGAATAGTTCAAACTAAGTAGGAAAGCAAAAGTAAAAATTAAATTATTTTTAATCAATATTGTCTGAAAATTACATGCCTAGATAAAGAAAAAATTCTAGAAAGTAACCCAGACGTTTCAGCTTAGGTAGAATTTTATCTTTAGGAAACTTCCTGAATTATACGCAACTTTGATAGGGTAAACTATGCATGTCAAATCCCCAAAAGGAGGCTAGAACTTCAAGGAAGCTAGGCAGAGTTATGTCTCCATGAGTGCTAGCAGCCTGCTCAAACTTGCTGCAGTGAACTAGGATCTTGAGAAGGATAATCAATTAAACAACTCCTTACTAACAGACCAGGTCAACATATAATTATCCCAAACTGCAGATGTAATCCAAAAGGTAATTCACATTTAATGTTCCCATATGACCATATCATGAAACCTTACCCCTGCAAGCTGCAACTGTTGTGTGTGCTATCAGGGCTCAGGAGATTTAGGTTGTTCCAGTAGGTGTTGACATATTGAGTTAAGTCAGGAAAATCATTATTGCATTGCTAGCTAGTAAGTATCACATGCTTGATCTTGCATTCTATAGCTGTTACTTTGTTTCGACACAAGCAGCCCATGCCTTTGATTCATATGAGACATATCCTATGCTTTAGGGCCATATATATGATGCCCCATTCCTTTTGTTATGCAGTTCACTTTCTAAGTTGTTCAAAATTTGGTATTATCTCCTTAAGCCAAACTATCCATCTAAAACCAATGTCGCGAATATATGAAACTCAATACATCACCAGAAGTTGAAATATGAGAGTAGAAGCTAGATATGCTACAGGCTAATTATTATGTTATTTTTATGTGCAGATTCAAGAATTAAACAGGTAGAGATTGTTGATTTCTTTAAGGTTCCTTTGAGGTAAGTCATGATGATCACCCCCAACACACCTTACATTTCACAAGTCCTTTTTACCCCCTTATTAGGTTATCTTAAATTCTAATACTGATGTTCATTTTTAATTCTTGCTTTACATTACCTGTCGCTCTTAGGATTTAGGGGATTCAATATCCCTACAGAAAGAGAGAAGCTTTATAAAGATTACTATAACAATAGAGGAATTGATGAAGATAAATAAGAGAACTTTGCATTCTATAATTGCACAAGTACTTTAAAAGCTCAAGGCTAAGTAAAGTAATAATGGGCCCGAAGCCTAGGTTTACAACGCACGAGTGAGGTGCGTTTCTTAACATTAAAGATGAAAGATGATCAGTGTAAAAACTTTTTGCAGAGAAGAGATTAGAGCAGCAAGTTTACTTCATCGAAAGTGCTTTGTCCAATGTCCAGGCCTAGATAAATACTTGGGCAGCAACGCCTAGTAGACAAGGTGGCCTCAAGCACACTTATATAAACACTATTTTGCACCAAGTTTATGATGCAAATTTGATATAAAAATAAAAATATAAAAAATATCAAAAGAAATCAACTTTACTAAGGAACTTGCCTTCCTTTGTAAGGTCTGTAAAGTACCCAAAATGTCCTGATACTCAACATTTCACTTCAAGTTTTAGACTACCATAGTTTCTCTAAATTTCATTGATTTATCACTTATCTGCCCAGCAGCCCCAAAGCAAAGAAATGACAAAGGAAGAAAACGAAAGGCAAAGGTGATAAGATTATAAGATTTTCTTTCTAATTTCACCAAGATGATACTTCAACTCTATTCCTAATCTCTTTGCGCGGCGTTTGGTGTGTAAGAATGAGATCTTGGGAGGGATGGGAAATGTATAGGAAATTGCAGGTTGGGATTTGATAAAGATATTAATAATGCCTTGTCTGGTAAGTTGACAGGAATATGTTTGCTTCCACACCCGAGTAATATGACAGCGGGCCGTGCGACGCTCTTGCCTATATGGCAGTAGTGGTACTAGCCTAGTGCAGAAAGCGCCTATGAGCACATAGCAGCACAGGTGGGTGTCTGATTACCGAAGGGAACTCTTGTCTATTAGCGACACGAGCATGGGTGTTTTTGTAACGCCCGAGTGGGTTAAGAAAGGGCACAAACAGGACCGAATCACTGAGTTTTAGGGTGTCAAAGAATTTGGGTGCTAAAATATATGAGAGACAGCAACATCAATAAAGGTCTAACAACAACACAAGTATCAAATCAAGGCAGATTTGGGTTTAGGTTGGCAGCTTGGATCTCTTATTAATCTCTGATCCCTAGAGAGCTTTGTTTTGGAATCACATTTTTTCCCATTGGATTGAAAGTAATGTAGTAATTTCTTCCAAGGTCTAGAAAACTTAAAGAAAGGCCTAGAAAGCATTAAAGGAAAACACAGGTCAAGGAAAGAAAAGGCCAGACATGTACATAGAGGCATAGAGCCACCATTACAACAACAAAAAGGTGTTTCATAAACAAAGTTTCCCATAACAATAGAGCAATCAATATGATAAAAGAAGAAATTTACACATACTGTTATGAGTTCTGCAAAAACGAGTCCATTTAAATAAACTAATAAAGCAGTTGATAGGATTGTTATACGAAGAAAAAAGTTTCACATGCTGCACTTATATCAACAAAAGAGGTAAAAACATCTTATGATGCAAGATCATACCCTTCTTTCCCAATAAGGATGAAAGCACACATAATCGTAGACAGGTGAGATTGATGACACCAAAACCACATTCAGGCCAGTAAACAAAAGAAGCGCTGCCATAGGCCGTGTCCTGTGAGGCATTGGTCAAGTTTAAACTTCTATGCTGCCAGGATAGATATAATCACCATCAGGAGTTTATAATGAAAGCTGTAACAATTGCTAATAATGAGATGGCAGTGGAAACCCAAAAGCACTATAGAAAAATATATACCACATATTTTAAAACAATATACAAGTGTTGTGCCACTGTGGTAACTGGTAAGTTATATAGGCTACCATAATCCAAAGAATGTTACAGTCTACAAAAAAGTGAAAATACAAGGCAAAAAAAGCCTCGAGATCATATAAAGATAAGTTATAAGTTATATGCACCTTTAAACCTAGAAGGATTAGAACAAATTTGAAATGCTCGGCACTAATAGTGTAATGAATAGAAAATCCAGAGCTTTGACAGACAATGAAATCTAGAACCAGAACATAACCAAAATCTGGTATCATAATTGACAACAAGCCCCTTTAATTCTATAAATTTTAAAATTAGTTTCATTGATGACGAATCACATAATAATTGCTCTACTCAAAATATTATGTCAACCAAAGAAATGCACAAAACAAACCAAGAATATCCTATGTCCAAGCAAAATAACCAAACATACACAAAAACGACCACATTCCATCCAAGGAGGATAGACAAGATGACTTCTATGCATTATCACTCTGATAATAACCTAAAACTACATGTTAATAACAATATGTTGCCAGGGTGAGATAGACAGTTAAGGCATTGGTAAAATTGCGAGGACGGTTTTAGGGTTAAAAGAAAACCATGAGCGTGTTTGGTATAGGGTTTTTAAGAATTGAAATGGAATCAGTTAGCTGTTTTGCATCACCTATTGTTTGGTATGGGAGGTAGGACACCACACTCTATTTCCTAATAGTAACCATTACCGCCCATATATCACCCTTCCTAAGTTCCTAACCCTACGGTAACATAACCATTATTCTCAATCCCCAATAAAATACAAGGTAATCCTTTTCCTTGCTAGAACCAAACCGCTAATAATGGTCTCAGACTAACTTTTAACATTATCCTTTCTCTTTCTTATTTGCTCCCATAACAGACCAACATAAACTCAATCATTCTAATTGTAATTATGTTCTTCGTATGTAATAAAAACACAACGATCAAGATGTTGCACATTTGGCTTTGGTTTCCTGCACTAAGGTTCATCATTCATCAATTTGCGATTGAATTTGAAATCATTACATACTCTGAGCACATAAATACACTCGTAGCTAACCAAGCTCGCAGAAAAGGGTCCAATTACATAGTTCCGTCCTAAATCATAACATTAAAGGTTATAAACTAAACAGTGCAATACATTAGCAACCAAAATCGACTCAATCATCAAATTAAGCTTGAAAAATCACAAAAATTTCTTCTTGATTAAGAATATCAATGTAAATGTAAATTGCACACGGAAAAATTCTAGCAATAAATAACATTTTATAAATTCGTAACTATAACCAATAGTTGAAGAAGAACCCTAAATTGAATAAAAACGATAGTGAAAAACTAAACCCTAGATTGTGAAATTGATATTCAATGATTGAAAAGATGAAACAAAATGTTACCTGAGAAGCTGCTTCAATGGAGGAGAGAGAAAGCTGAGAAGCTGCTTCAATGGAGGATGGAGAGGGTGGCGCAGAGTAAAATTGGAAATCTCCGTTTGGAAAAGAAAAAATTACGTGGGAGGAAAATTAATGACACGTGTCAGATATAAAGAACACCAATCTTCACACTTCCTCCGTTCTGAATTAGTTATTCCGTACACAACTATACGTATCTTATCAATGTTTGAAAAAAAAAAAAATCTTAATGGTCATCAGTGTCGTTCTTTTGGAATGACATTTGCTTAACTGAATTGAATAGAACTAAAACGATAACTGAATCATTTATTGTCAGGCCTTCCGTCATATGCGATTGTAGTACCGTTTTCGGACACATTGCATGGCTGACTTTCTATGCAAGTCCTTATAGGCTCTAGCTAAGGGCACTCACACTAGAGAGTCACTGATGGCGTATGATCATCTCCTTTCCTCAAGAAACTTAGAGGATCCTTTTATAAAATTTGATGAAATGTCTGTGGCTGATGCTGTCTCTAGAAAGACTGTTCTTCTGTATGCTAATCGCTTGGGAGCATTGGAACCCCATCTTTATTTTCCACTACTTAACTCATACGTCCGATTCAAGACAACGGAAGCTCCTCCTGATTTTGAAGTGGTATTTATAGACTTAGACGGTGATGGTGGAGATGATGGTTAATCAAAGCCATGGCTAATGTGCCCTTTCGGCCCTCAACGTGTTGCTTTTATTAAAAACACATTACTTAAGGGTAGACTTTCCGACATAGCTGCATTTGGTAAGATTTAACATTGAATGCACAAGACGTGCTCGAGTCATATGAGCCTGATGATCTTTCTTCCTATGGCAGCCAACAGTCCCTACGCAATCAAGTTATCATGAAAATTGAGTTTAATAGCATCACTGAGATAAAAATGAGTGCTTTAGTGTGAGTGAATACTTATTATTTGATGCTTTTAATATAAACACAGTAACATTGTTCAGATAGCTGCTTACTTGCTGAGTACAATTATTAACCATAACACCAAGAAGACTTGCCCTTTTTTTTTATTGAGAAGTTAATTTCTTACATAAGGGATTTATAGTAATAGAAGGAAAAAAAAATGACATCCTAAATGCTAGTAATACTAAGAGAAATTCTACACTGTAATGTGGTTACTTTCAATGGCACCACTGTCTATATACAACAAAAGAAACTTCCCTAAATACTATAACATCAACCTAACAATACCTTAAATAACATCAGCCAGAACAACAGTAATAATACAACACAGAAAGAAAACATGAAAATATGTTTTCATTGTCAGGGGCCAGGATCAAATTACGCTGCTGCCTTAAAAACTGCCAAGGGAACAAGGTAAGTCAGAAGACCCGATTACTTCAATTGATACAATACATAAAGCTGCTCAATCACGCGGTCTAGCAAGCCACAACGAACTGAGAGCCCTAAGCCTTGAGAAATAGTCATGTATAGATAGAAGGGCACGTGCAGATTGTCGAGTTGTTAATATGTGGTGCATCTGTTGCAGCGTTTGTTGACGGAGATTATCAGCCTGCATGAAGCAATCATTGTCCATGAACAGATCAATATATTATGAGACAATAATTGAGACAGATCAGCAAGTGTTGTATACTTCAAAGAAGTGTCGTGATATGAAAAAACAAATTTTTACAATTAAATGCAGCTAAAATGCAGCTAAGCCAGCAAGTGAGAAATCCCAGAATGTAAATTTAGCAAGCACCTCATTCAGTCCAAAATGTCTTAACCTTCAAACAGGAGGACATGAATTGAATTTGAGCACTTCAAATTAAATGAAAACAGTAGAAACTCCTATTCATGAGGTCACCCCCAAAAAATCACACCTCAAAAAAAAATCTGGCATTTCCAAGACAGCCCATATATGATTATATTATCCCCTCAAGGATCTTTTCCATTTAAAAAAAATTTCCCAATAACATCTATATAGGACCAAACTGCCCGTAGTTACAAACTAGGTCTGTCTGAAAACATGATACTGTCAATTCTCCAGCAAACAAACTGCAAGCGGGACATTGCTATTATATTATAAATCCCGAAGTATTAGAAACTTGTGAGTTAATATGCCACATACATCAACTAAGAAACATCTCAAACAAATTTGTCAAGAAAATACCTGGCGCAGGAATCCTTCAAGAGTTCCTAATTTCCCCATGGCCATGGCCATCTGACCCATATAGTTTGCCACATTGCCAGATGAACCAGAAGAGCCTGGTGTACCATTGGCTAATGTCTCAGATAGAGACTGCTGCAGCGCCTCCATTCCTTGCGACAAGGCTTCTTCGGCTTGTTGAGATGACTGCTGCAAGTTGTAGATGCCCACTAGCTGCTGCTCTGTCAAGGGCTCCAATTGATTCACCAGAAGCTGCATTTGAATGCAAATAAAATTGGATATGCAGAAGGTACAACAACAAACCAACAATCATATGTTGAAGCAAAATATGCAATAGGAAACACCAGTTATTTACTTATTTGGACTGTTAATTTGACTGCCAATGGTTTCATGCATAACCAGAAAACTTTATATGGCCCAAAAATATTAACAAAACAAATCCAAAAAAGCAGGGCAACACAGAGTTATATCAAAATTATCCTGATCTGGACCCAATATCGGCTACTAGGTCTTCAAAAGGTAGATCTAACACGTAAAAAGGCCTGAAGGATGTAGCCAACTAGGTTTTTCAGATTTTCATCACAGCTTTAAGGTAACCCAAACACAAGAAATCTCTTGAAAATTACTTGTGTTTTCGATTTTCCAGGTCCACACCACAGCAATTCCTAGACAAAAGCACAGGACAATGCTGTAAGCTGTATATTATGATTTGGTGAAGGGTCCTTAGAAGGTCACCAGAGGCCAGCTAGAGACTTAGTAGTTAGATAAAAGATCACAAATAGCCAAAGGCGGGCTTTTATTTGGTCAATGCTTTAAGGCTCAATGTAGAGTTTGAGTACGTTTTCATGTTTCTGCTCAAATTTAAAAATGCAACAGATACAAAGGAAAGGATGGGCCTCACCTTCAAGAGTTCTGATGGGCGAAAACCACCAATCCACATAAAGCAACGCTCTGCAGGAGTTTTCCACATTCCAGACAAGATGTGAAAGACATCAGCCTTTGCAGCAACACCTTTAAGCCTGAAAATATCATTGAAGTGTGTAGCTACATTGTCAACAACTGTATGCAGTTCAGTATCACTAGCATGTGAATTGACTGCAGTCCTCAGTTCATTTATCATTTTGTTTTGTTCTTCCAGCCATCGAGAGTACTCCGCATCGAAAGCCAAGGCACCTACAAGGTCACCAAACAAGAAATTATAACCAGTGACTATTGAAAGATCAACGTTTACTTGACGAGTAATATTAATCTTGGATTCTTGGTAACAGTAAACAAGGAAGAGTAAACATGCACCACAGATAGACAACCGAGAAACAAAGGAAAATACCATTTCCACCTATTGTATGTGATTGATCACTAGCACTTGAGATGAAAATTCCCTACAATGAAAAAGATGAAGAGCAGCAAGCATTAATTTCTTCATTAATAATAGCATCTAACGAATAGATCAGAATAACAGCAGCAGCAGCAGGAAGAACACCTGCTGGCGGGCTCGTTGGAGCTCTTGCTCAAGCTGGGTCAACTTCAGTCGGCTATTTTCCAGCTGTTGTACGTACGCCTGAAAAAATTGGAAGATCATTATCACCGCAAAACAAACACTTCTGGATCATGCATATATATGTACCACGTTTATTTTAGTGTGTTTGTTCTTCTCTTTGGGGCTTGCCCCTCTTTCGCATCAAAAAAAAAAAAAAAAGTATAGATAGAAAAGTCTGTTAATCAAACACAAGTTCTAGCATTTTTATATAGTATGTAATCACTATGAATAAAATTGCACTGCCCAAAGGATCACCATAAGATACATTGCATAATAAATGACGATGACTAACCTTTTTCCGCAAGCGGCTTTTTCTAGCTGCTTCACGATTTTGAGCTAGCCGTCGCAGTGACTGAAAAATTACAGAGAGTAAGTGTTTGACAAGCAGGTTGTAAAATATTCCAAGCTACACAGCAAGAGTGCAACAGGATCTAAGTAATGCTGAATTACCTTTTGATCAAGAGCTTTTTCTTTGGATCTCTCACTGGAGTCAGAAGCAGTCTTATTGTTTGTTTGACCTGGTTCAAAGTGCAAACATGTTTAGGTTATTAAACTATTGAAAGCATCAGAGAAACAGCACAGTCCAAGAAAGAGGGGGGGGGGGGGGGGGGGGGGGGGGGGGGGGGGGGGGGAGAAACTATTAATGAGAGACCAAAATTACACAATCTGCACCCTTCCTAAAAGAAGTGCACACATTAGTTGATCACAGAAAATAATTCTTTGAAAAAACTACCTGTAGATTCTTATCCTCAGTATCATCTGATGAAGAATCAGATCTAGGACTAGCATCAGCCATAATGGACTCTGCCCAATTTTCACGATAACCCCCGCTTACAGAAGCCAAGTTAGGTTGTGATTCTCTTTCCAACGACAATAGCTGAGATGTATTTTTAAGCACATGTCAGACTTTATAATGGGCAGGAAATATTCACAAGCTTAACATTCATAGTCAATGATGTAGAATTACCTTATTGAAAGATCCAAATGGTGGATCAGGGCCTACAGCCAGACTAGAAGACTTCAACGAACTGAATAGAGGATCTATAACACAAGATCAATAACAAGTCAAGCTAAACTTTCTCCAGCATGTTCAAGTGAACCACAGAAAATCACAAGACCAAGCCTGAACCCACTAGGTAAGAATAGGAATTTTCTTCTAGAACAACAGATAAAAATTGAAAAGAAAGGACACAGACAGCAGAACAATACATTTATTTGAGTTTTTAATTTAAGTAAATTCTCGTCAACATCCTGTTTTTTAATGTGTTAAACACCCATAGTCTCATACACAAGATCTAAATCAGCTCTAAAAGATAACCCTCCAATACAGGCATGAAAACCAAACTTTTTGACCTATTAAGATTGTGCTTCTCTATGCATTCAGTATATCTAAATGAAAACAGTAATTCTGCTATTTCTTTATAGGATTAAAGCTTATCCTACATTCCTAAAATATATCTTGAAAATTCTTAGTATGCTACTAAAAAGTGCAGCTTCATAATACAAGAATTGAGAATTAGTTTGTGAGTAATCAGGCTTTCCAAATATAATTGTCATCTCAAGAATTATTATAATTCCCAAACAGCCAGTCTTTTTTGCTGCAAAAGAATCTAGGAAATCAGCAATATATGATGACAATATAGCTGTTAATGATCTCAGTCCTCTCGAGAAATACTTGGGACTAAGCTCCTCAACAATATTTTTAAAGGCGGCCCCAAACCTTCAAACTTTATGTCTCACATTTTGTAGAGTGTATAGTTCTCATTGGCATCCCATAAAGCTTACTACAGTCAAAGACCTATGAAACAATGAACAATACTTAAAGTAGAAGAATTATAACACGTTAATAACAGTTATAATCTAGTAAGACTCACTCCTGAGATCAACAGCATCTTCAATACGAAAATCAAGTGATTGCTCAAAAGCACCAAGTTCAGAAATCCGAGATGAACTTGTGTTGTTATCCTCTGTTACACTGAGAAAATCAAATATCAGCATTAGAAGGCCTCATACAAAGGTATGAAAAAATTCAGGAAGAACAAAACTAATGAATTTTGGCATCAACCACAAAATTCACCAATTATTGAAAACACAAGAAGATGACTGCTTGCATGTATCAAACAATATCTATCATGATTTATAAGAAAGTTTTGATGTCCTCAAAGCAGGAAGAGGCATGGATAAGTAGCCCAAATGAGCTTTTCGGATGAAGTTTATGTGGATAGGACAAAATAGGGGTTCTTAGGTTGAAGTGTATGTGGATTAGACATTTTCCTCTAACATATAAATAGGATGTATTGATAGTGCAACTTCAGAAAAATATCGGGATATAAAGATTCTGGTCATAAAGCAAATTTGCTATTATTCGCTTGCGAGTGATCTAATCCAAACTGGGATTCATCGATCCACAATATGATCCACATTGCGGATCTCACTTATACAAATTGGTATTAGGAGTGACTTTAGACAATTTAAGCCTGCGGACCATGTTCACAATGTCATATAAAGTGATATTGGGATAACATTTCCACATATGATCATCGTACATGCAACTCAAACAAAATAATTAATATCGGCAATCCAAAGAATTCAATAGTACATATATTTAATTAGTATATTAAAGAACTTATTGGGTCTAATAAACTCACATTTGAAGTGTATTGCAAACTCACATTTGAAGCTTAATGTACCTATAGCAATATCTTACATATCTGCTTTTCCAAAAGGCAATCGCCTAATTCTACCAAACACTTAACAAGGAATCAGCTAGTCAAACAAGCCAATACAACCAGATGTTCAAGTCAGCTCTCACATTCAGCTCCAGCTTTAACAACTCTTTTCCAAACCAGGTTTATAATATTTAGGAGTTAAGATAAGCTATATTTTCTGACGTATGCTTGTATAGTTTCCAAGTACCAGAAACTTCCACATTCCGAGCAATAATATTGATATGTTGTCTATTGTCCACAGAACAGGATCTGACAATGTATAACATGCCCCCAACAATTGGGGCATTCCCTCTCATAAAACTGAGCTCAGCTATAAAAAGTTGAATTAGGGAATGCCTCTGATGTTTCTTAAAAGTGGCAAGGGTTCATACTCATGTCGGAGTGTAATCTATCTTACATGGGTACTCGTTGTAAACTAGAGACATGAGTATCTCTTCCCCCCCCCCCACCCCCCCCCCCCAACCATCCATGTAACTCCCAAAAAACATATCATCAAATTTAAGAAACTTACTAAGTTGTAATCATGTTAAGAGGCGTAAACAGAATGTGTCCTGCCTAAACCAAGAATTGCTAGAACAGCATCTTCGCTACTCATTATGCTTAGGAGGGAAGTCAGAGGAAAATCTAGGATGCATACCCAGCTATGGTCCCGAAATTGATACAGCAACATGTGGATATTCTCAAAAAATTTGAGCCATGTTTATTCATAGTCTTATACATGGCTGGAAGTGAACCCTTTTTTCTTGTGGCCAATATGGCTATAAAAGGAATTTAAGCCAATGATTCCACCATCTCTACGAAAATATTCACTTCTATATTGCACATCATCCACTCATAAATCATAATAACATGATACTTCAGATAGGGATAGGCCAAGCTATTTCCCCCAAGAACTAGTAGCCATGTTCTTGCTCATTTGAGAGCTCAGAGAAACAGAAACTTAAGTAGTGGCAGAGAATGCTTCTTGGCTCTTATTCAAATAAAGTTCCCAGGGCTATGAGGTACAGCAAAATCTGGATTGATAAGAATCTCTACTCAAGAAACAGCCACATATCTCTTAATCAGTACTCAGCTATCTTTAGATTTTTTACAAAAAAAGACTCAGCTGAGCAACAAGTCATTACAATCATACTTAATCCAAAACCATATAGTACCACCATTCTTCAAAAGCAGCAGATTCCCTACCCACCACCCTCTATGATAATTGCTAAGAATATTATTCAACGAACTTTCCTCAAAACATGTAACTCAACACTATACTGAGATTACTTGTTTCTATGGGAACCAACACAAACTCAACACATAAAATTATAATCTAAATGATGTTACTCCAACTCTATATTTTACTTAAACAACCACGCGACAATCCAACATGTGTATGGACACTTCAACACTTTAATAGCCGAGTTGGAGACTTGAACACATACCCTATCTAACACGAGTTCTCGACTTTGAGTAACATAAGAGCCTAACATGTTGAATGCATTACAATAGTACACAATTATAACTTTTCAACAACAAACAGAACAATTTACACAGGTCTGCTACATAGTACATACTACAAGTATTGCTATGGAGAATTAAGAAAAGCTGGAAAAGTGACAAAATTGGTAAAGGAAAAAGGAGAAAGCTTACATGGAATTAGAGATAGGGATAGTAGGAATAAAGCTAGGCATCCCTGATGTTAAGCTTGCACCATTTTTTGCTCCAAAATTCACTTTTCTGCTACCCATATAACTTTCATAATCACCTCAATTTCTCCCAACCAAGAGCTGGAAAATTATAAATCCTTGAAAATCCCAACTCAATTTTAATTCACTTTAAATAAAAAGAAACACCCTTTTAGATTCCGAAAACCCAAAAAAAAAAAATCTTTCAATAACCAAATATTGACAACAACTCAAAACCTTCAAAACCCAGATTGAAAACCCAAATATATTACAACAAACTAAAAGCTTCACAAAAAAAATATTCCAGAAACCCCAGAAAAATTGTAGAAGAGAAATTTTTTAATGATACAACAAGAGAAAAAATAAATTAAATTAATCTTACAATATTACAAATGATAACAATAAACTGGGTATGTATCTAAAACCCTATAAAACCCTGATTATACAACAAGCAACCTTTATGCAAAAATTGAATTCCCAGAACCCATCAAATTTGACAAAAAAAAAAAAGTCAACAGCAGTTATATATTTGAGACCTCAAAAAAGAATATGGAGATTACCCAGAAGCTAACTTTGACAGAAATTTAAATAAAAAGGACCCTGAATTAATAATAGTATAAAAAAACACACAATTTTTTTTTTCAAAAGATCCAAAATTTTGATCACTTTGACTTGGTGAGTATCTTTTTATTGTTGTTGTTGTTTTTGTTTTGTAATTTATTTTTTTTTTTATTTTCGGGGTGGGAGTTTAGACTTCGTGTGAAATTCAACAAGATCCACCTCGAATTTTGGACCTTCTTAAAGAATTAGAGAGAAAATAAATGAATAATGATGAAAGAGAAAGAGAGAGATCCTTCTCCTAAAAAACGTCCTTTTCTTTCTGATTAATTTTTCCCATTTTTCAAAGTTGCCAATTTTTAATTCTTCATTGTACTTAGTAGCATAAGTGCATAACTAGCATTCAATTTACGATTTATTTTAATAAAATAAAACACTCTTAACTAACTCCATTATACTAAAATCCAACCTTAATTAGAAATATTCCTTCAAAGTAATAACTTAATTTAAAATATTATTCTGAAACGAAATAATTGCGACAAGTTGCTCACAAAATATATAATGGTAATTTGAGACAAAACAAACTTGATTCTAACATTATTTACATACAAAGTACTGACTTTGAAAAAAAAAAAAAAAATCAAAATCGTAGCACTTTGTACTTGATAGTTGATGGATAAGTTAGGATTTTGACAAATTTTTGTATGTGGCTGGCCACACGGTGTGGCCAGCCACAATAATAATAATTATTATTATTATTATTTTTAAAAAAATATCATAACTCTTCTCTCTCTTCTTTTCTTATCTTCTTCTCCAAACCATACATCATCAACAACCATATCTCTACTATACCCATTTTCTCTCTCCTCTTTTTTTAGCTTCTCATTCAAGTCAAACCACACATCACCAACAACCATATATCTACTCCACCCATTTTTCCTCTCCACTTTGTTAAATTGCCGCAATTAAAGCCGGAAATTGTAGAAATTGGGCGTTAAATTGCTGTGAAAAATTGTGATTAATTATCCTTAAAATCATCAACAACATTTGAAGTAGTGAAATTGATGAGAACCAAAGAAATGTGAGCTCGTTTTCTTCGTGGAATCTTAAATCAAACATTCTACGTCAAAAATTGTAGGGTGTTACTAGTTTGGTTATGGGTACTTGTAGGTGTTACTGGTTTAGTCAGGGGTTACATGTAGGGCGTTACTTGTTTGGTCAGGGGTTACTGGTATGGTAATGGTGTTACTGGTTTGGTCAGGGGTTACATGTAGGATGTTACCGGTTTGGTCAGGTGTTACTGGTTTGGTGAGGGTGTTACTGGTTTGGTCAGGGGTTACATGTAGGATGTTACCGGTTTGGTCAGGTGTTACTGGTTTGGTGAGGGTGTTACTGGTTTGGTCAGGGGTTACATGTAGGATGTTGCTGGTTTGGTCAGGGGTTACTTGTAGGGTGTTACTGGTTTGGTCAGGTTACTTGTAGGGTGTTACTGGTTTGGTCAGGGGTTACTTGTAGGGTGTTACTGGTTTGGTCAGGGGTTACTTGTAGGGTGTTACTGGTTTGGTGATGGTGTTACTGGTTTGGTCAGGGGTTACATGTAGGATGTTACTGGTTTGGTCAGGGGTTACTTGTAGGGTGTTACTGGTTTGGTGAGGGTGTTACTGGTTTGGTCAGGTTACTTGTAGGGTGTTACTGGTTTTGGTCCGGGGTTACTTATAGGGTGTTACTGGTTTGGTTAGGGGTTACTTGTAGGGTGTTACTAATTTTGTTCAAGAGTTACTTGTAGGGTGTTACTGGTTTGGTTAGGGATTGCTTGTAGAGTGTTACTAGTTTTGGTCCGGGGTTAATTGTAGGGTGTTACTGGTTTGGTTAGGAGTTACTTGTAGGGTGTTACTAGTTTTGTTCAAGAGTTACTTGTAGGGTGTTACTGGTTTGGTTAGAGATTGCTTGTAGAGTGTTACTAGTTTTGCTCAAGGGTTACTTGTAGGGTGTACTGGTTTGGTATGGGCTTTACAAGTAACCATTGAATAAGTAACAAGTAACCCTTGAATAAGTGATTCATACAAGTAACCTTTGAAGTAACTCATATAAGTAACCCCTGAATAAGTAACTCATTCAAGTAACCTTTGAATAAATAACTCATACAAGTAACCCTTGAATTAACTCATACAAGTAACCCCTGAAAAAAATACAAGTAACCCCTGAAAAAAAAATACAATTAAATCTTGAAAAAAAATACAAGTAACCCCTGAAAAAAAAAATACAAGTAACTCTTGAAAAAAAAAATACAAGTAACCCCTGAATAAGTAATCCATACAAGTAACCCTTGAAAAAAAATACGAGTAACCCCTGAAAAAAAAATACAAGTAACCCTTGAATAAGTAATCCATACAAGTAACCTCTGAAAAAAAATACAAGTAACATCTGAAAAAAAAAAAATTACAAGTAACCCTGTATAATCCGTTATTTTCACTGATTTGGCAGCAGGCCACACGGTGTGGCCTGCTGCACCAAAAAAGCTCTATAGGATTTTTTGTTCATTTTATTTTTTACATATTTCGGATCTAATAAATTCACTTTAGGAAAATAAATTTTAATAAGGGTTTCCAGATTCAATTACAATAAGTTTTTATAACATAAAAAATTAGGTTTGATAGAATTTGAGGATTTAAGTTTTGAGTAATCCGGTTTAAAAGTGACTCTTAAATTATTATATAGATGTATTGAGTAAGCTAATTTTGAGGGGTGGTCCTCAAGACCTAAGATCAAATTCTATCTACATCTTTTTCCCTTCAACTACACATAATACATCTAATTTGCCATTTACCTTATGACTTTTATCTACAACTTCAAGTATATTCACAACTTTGACATCTGATGGGTTTTAATTTTTAAAGCAAATAAGGCCTATGCACTAGGAGTTTTCCCCTCCTCCTCTACACTCCCAAAGTCCAAGGAGCCTGCCGACTAATCCGAATCAGATCAAGGAATCGCTTTGGAAGTCGAAATGACTAGATTCATTTCTTAGAGCCTACAAGTAAAAGTTACAATAAAAAGTTAATAGGGTACCCTCTTCTTAGTTCTTACCTTAAAATAAAATACTATGTAAATAAAGCTTGAGAAGATGGGCTTGGTGTTTGGGCTCAACTTTGGGTTTTGTTTATGACATTTGAGTTAGTTGGGCTCAATTTTAATTTGATTAGCGATTAGTATGTAAATGTACAAGTCTCGGACCCTAAATACTAGTATTAACTACGGAGTATATAAGTCCTGGTTATTTCCTTTTCTTCTTTTGTTCCTTCTCTGGCCTGGTTGGTTTCTTCAAAAGGTAAGGTTGAAATGGCATTGTCTTTTGGGTGGCTTCAGAAAACCATTTAGTTCAGATGTCGTCCTGCTCTCGACTATTGAAGCTCTTTTGAGTTGCTTGTTCAAATGTTTAACTTGATTGTGAATTGGCTAGCTATCTTTGGAAAAGACTCTTTAAGGATGTTACCATATGCTATGGGATTGAGTTACTTTATTTGCTTGCTTCTTTATGGGCTAAGGTAGCTTGAGCTTTCTCGATCAGATTATTCTCAAGGGGAGATATAAAGGAATACTACGAGCTGTCTTTAAAGATGTTACTACTCCGTATATGCTATGGTTTCTACTTTGCATAAACTGAAACATAATTTGATTTGTTGCTCCATGATCTGCAGTTGCTTTATACAAACCTGAGCATATTGTTTATATAAGCATATTTGTGTGGCATTATATCTAACATGCATCATGTTAAATTGTTTCACTGGGTTCTCTTTTGTGAAATCTACATGGGGTAAGTCCATGCTCCTGGCCTGGAAACAACAATGTGCAAATTTTGTACTGAATTTCATTGTTTTTTTTAGCAGGATTATGATACAAAGATCAAGTTAAGGTGATTAATTGCTCTCAGATGATTGCATTTAGGGATGTGTCCTGTGTCCAATGTGGTTGTTCGCTTCAGGAGTGATACGGTGGTTGGACAAATCATAGTGCGTACGCTAATGAATGCATATATATGCTAATCTGTGTCCATGTTTCAGCTAATGTTTTTATCGTAGTTTTGTTCAGCAGATATGTAGTACTGACTACTGAGTAGTATTTTTGTATTGAGTCTTAAAAGTCAGTACCTACTTTTGGAGTTCTAAGAAAGGTTTTGTTTAAAGATGTTGAGGGTTAGATTTTTTTTTTTTTTTTTTTTTTTTTTTTTTTTTTTTTTTTTGAAAAAACAGTTGTGCTATTTATTAAATTTGGTCTTCAGTATTTTTCACCACATGAAGACAGTGGCGGACCCAGGAATTTCCGACTGGTGAGTCACAATCGATAATCAAATATGTAAAATTTTTTTTTTACCAAACAACCAAATAATAGTACTAAAAAATACATCTAAATATTCAAACAGTACAAAATACAACCAAATGTTCATATAATACTACAAAAGATAATTAAATAGTAATGCAAACTTATTACAATAGTTCTCGACGAGTTTTCATGTTTTGATATCGATTTATGATATCTTCCATGCTAACATTAAAAAACAAATCATTCTCCAAATAAGTAATTAAACAATCATTCAACATTTGATTTAAAATAATCACTCAGGCACTCAGGCACTCAGCAAGTCAGCACTTCAGCATTATCATTATTATCATTATTACCCCTAAAACAAAAACTTAGAATTCAAACAATATAGATTTAAAATAATAATAATCATAATTGTGAAAACTAAATAATAGCAGAGACAAAGAAAAGCTTAAGTTTGATAAAATCTGGAAAATTATAATCTTAATCGTCCCACTTCGCTAGAAGATCGTCCGTAAACTTATCGAGGTTAGTGCTATCCCATGGATCTGCATCCCGAAACTCAGTTAGAGGAGGAATAGAACAAAAAAGACGAACAGGGATAGAGTCATCCATTTTTCTTTAAAGTTTTTTTCTCAATTTCTATTGCTTCTCTTCGATTAGGGTTTTCTGGAAAATTTGAGAGGAAAGAGGTTTGCAATTCAGTAATCTAAACTGCAATTTTATAACCTGCAAGTATTTGGAGTCGGTTTTGGTTTTAATCTTTTTTCTAATATCAGGCCTCCTGTTTTTCTTTCCTTTTTCTTTCGAGCAATAAAAATCTCAGCCCTTCACTACCCTTTTCCTGTTATTGTCCACCGTCCACGACTCCACGGAGACGGAGCAGGCGAAGAGAACGGTGGCTGGGTGGAGAACTGGAGATGAAGCGAAGAGGCGAAGAGAACTAGAGAAGAAGGCTAGGGGTTGAACTTTGAGGAACAGAGGAAGACAGTAACTCGGGAAGCTAAAGAAAGTTTTTTTTTTTTTTTTTAAATAACTTAAAAAAAATTTTGGGCCCTGGTGAGTCACTTGACCCACCAGGCACAAGCCCAG